AAGCTCGAGCAATGGAGCTGAGCTTGTGCCTACAAATTTTTTGATGAGCGGAGTTTGAGCTAAGAAAATTAGCTCGAGCTCAACATAAACTAAATAAATTTAGTTCAATTAAACAGATACTAGACTCACTTATACTCCTAAATATTACATTTTATTTATCTGTCATATGCTAATAGTCCAATAAATTTGTCTCTTTTTTTTAATTATAAGTCATCAACAAATTATGTTCTTCCTAATTTTTCCAACTTGGCAGAGCACATGAAATTGAATGAGGTCCTTTTATAGCACTGTGTGAAGCGGTGGCTTGCTTGGCTGTTTTCAGTTGACTGTTGACGGTTGAGAGTTAAGGCTATCAGATGGAGGCCCTATCAATTGAGAAAGCACACTGTTATTTACTTTTTATATTTTAATAACATTAAATTAAGTTCGATCACTTAACTAAAAGAATATCTTAATAAAAATAAATATTTATATTTTAAAAGTAGGAATAATAAATAATAAAATATATGACTCAAATCTAATTTATTAAAAAAATAATATTCTTCTCTAATAATAAGTCATACATTCTTTTACATAATAAAATATTCTTATCCATTTTTGTTATTGGAGTTATATTCTATATTTAGCATTAGTTTTGATATATCATCAAAGAACTTTTTTGAAGGAGCACAAATCTCGAACCGAAATCAAATTGGAAAATTTTAAAAGTTAATTGGAAATCATTTGAAATTCGATTTCAGCGAACTTATAGTTGAACTGAACATCTCGAAAATATGAACCCAACGACGCGAAATTTGACCCATTCCGAGCTCAAATGGGTCCAAATCAAAGACCCGAAGTGCATTTGGAAGGTTCAATCCATAATTTGGATTATCAAACAATTTCCAAATGAGACGTGCTTATAGTCGAATCTAGCAGCTCGACAAGACAAATCCAACGAGCCTAAGATCGCTGAATTCTGATATCATTAAGACATTAAAATGCCCAATAAACGGTCAACGATTAAGAGATTCAACATTGGCCGTCCATTGAAACCACTCACAGTTTACCCTTGATCTTCCTCCTATTTACTGGTCATGCCACTCTAAGAAAACTATAAATAGATCCCTCATTTCTCATAAGGGAGGACCCAAGCAAGAAGACAAGAGAAGGAAGCAATAAGAGAATGAAGAAAATGAAAAGAAGGAAGAGAGCACTCTTGCCACTAGACTCCTCCTCGACCACCGTCGGACTTCCACCCGACAGCCGACTGACGCCAGAGTTCTGCCTAACTGCTAATTGACGTCAGAGTTTTGCCCGACTGCCATTTGACGCTAGATTTCTGCTCGACTGTCAATTGAAGCCGAATTTCCACCCAACCATCAAATGTCGTCGTATTTATGATCTGATCGTCCTCAATTTTAAGGACCCAGACTCTTGTAATATAATCAAACACTAGAAGAATACTTTCAACTAGGCGTGACCCCGTGCTTTTTTCCTTTTACAGGGTTTCCACGTAAAAAAATTGGTGTTATATTTTTCTTCTATTTGTGTGTTGGATATCCGTGCAACGCCGAGACGAAAATTTTCTAACTCTATCGGCGCATATATTCTAGCCCGTAACAATTTTTTAACTTTCAACTTTTGTAGGTTTCATCTAATGAATTAACAATAATTTTATCTAAGAATAGATGCATGTAAAGGAAGTTAAGAATAGAGAATAAAGAAAAGACAAGAGATTGTTTAGGGTTTAGGGTAGGACATGCATGAATACACTTATTTTACACAAAGTGATATAGAGCATGAGGATTGTATGAGAGAGATTTGGTATTTTTGGACTGTGGCTATGGTGCAGATGTGTAGGATTTTTATTTCATTTGATTGGGTGTATTTGAGGATGAATTGGTAGCCAATTTCGATATCCATATAAATCCAAAAGCATATCACTTGACCTACAGATCAATTCTTATAACTCTATTTTTAATAATGTTCTAAAACTACTACTTTGATATAAAAAATGTTTGTTACAACCCAACTCAAGAAGTCCCACAAATAAAACATGTCATTATTGTGTTGGATTGCGACATACAAATCTTAATATCTAGTTTTGATTTTTTTTTTTAAAGATTTCTTCGTTAATTTAAACTTTAATACAAACATAGAATGGCTAATAACTTCTAGTATGTAAGAATATCTCATCCACAAACTTCTTTTCATTTCATCTTTATCAAAATGTATGTGCAAAATCTACATTACAGTACATAATCATATAACATAGAGCTAAACAAAACATAATAAAAGCTAGTTATGATTGTAAAAAAAAAAATAAAAACAAGAATTCATATATATATATAT